GGCTTCATCAACCTGGGCAAAGGCAAAGACCTGAGAGGCATGCGGGACATGCATATCGTGGAAAGACTCTTGGCCATTGCGGTAGGCACGAAGACTGTTCACTTGGCTCATGTGCTCGATCGAGCCACCGCTGGTGCTACCGTTGCCCTTACGATCATCTTCATGAAGACGAATGATGAGGTTCTGGCGCGGAAGATTGACATCCCCGATACCACTGTCCGTTTTGACTATGTACGACCGGACCTCTTCCTCCTACGGACGCTGGCGCGACATGTCATCATGTGGGATAGCATACGACCGAGCTATGATTGGATTATTGAGAGTCTACCTAAAATCTATCGACGTCGATATCGGCTAACAGGCGTCAGCCGACTGAAGAGTGACGACATGCCTTTCTTCAACATTATTGCTGGGCTCTGCTTCGCTCTTGGTCTGCGCTTCGCGGGCTCAGCTCAGCTAGCTGTTCGCGACCTGCTTATCTCCTACCTGGACCAATTCATCCGCATTTGCAGACTCCCAGCCGTGAATTATGACGGGCGACTGACCAGGAATTCGGTCCGAAACTGTCAGGACATCGTTGCACTCTCCGCGGCGACTGTAATGGCCGGAACGGGAGACCTAGCGCTATTTCGACGATTGCGATCACTGCACGGCCGCGTGGACGCAGACACGCCGTATGGAAGCCACATGGCCGCGCACATGGCCATCGGCCTGCTCTTCCTGGGCGGAGGCAGTTATACGGTTGGCACCTCCGACCTGGCGATTGCCTCGCTGATCTGCTCACTGTATCCCATTTTCCCAACGACAGTGCTAGACAACAAATGCCACCTCCAGGCCTTCCGGCACTTGTGGGTTCTGGCTGCCGAGCCACGCTGTCTTGTGCCCCGGGACATTGATTCTCGCCGCCCGATCCATCTCCCCATCACGGTAACGAACACAAGCGGCCAGAGACAAACCGTGACCGCGCCCTGTCTCCTGCCCGATCTGGACAGCATCGCGAAAGTGGAAATCCGCAGCGCCGACTACTGGCCCCTTGTCCTGGACTTTACGCAGAACAAGCGGCTGTACGACAAGTTCCGGCACGGGGACCAGTCCGTCTATCTGCGGCGCAAGGCCACGTACAACCCCACCGGATCCTCCGTGTTCGTGGCGACCCTATCCGGCCTCAGCGAGGCGCAGGACGTGCTCCCGTCATCCGCGACCACAGCAAACCCAGGCCGGCGACTCCTCCCCGCCGCGCCACCCAAGGCCGTCGCGCTGCTCGCCTCAGGCTCCAAGCTCGTCCATCGCACGGCGCCGTCCCAGAGCATGTGGGACTGGATCTTCAACCTCGACTCGCTGCAAGGACTCGACATCCACGAGAGGTCACTCGTGCTGCCGGCCTCGTTCCCGACACGCGTTCGGTACATAGGGGCGACTGGTGGGCCGGGGGATGCGCCGTGGCTGCGCGTCTCGGCCGTGGACAGCAGATTAGTGATCGAGAGCAGCGTGCAGCATGTGATCCGCGCGGCTGCCGGGCGGGGCGCCGACGCCGACGAGGTCCGCGATCGCCTCTGGCAGCTGCGGCTGTTGTACAGCTGGCTTGACCATGTCCGAGCGGGAGAGGATACGGAGGCGAACGGCGACGACGAGGTTGCTGCGTCCAAGGGGTTATGGCTGCGGCGGGAGTTTTTGGAAGAAACCCGGTGGAAGATTTGGGGGGTGCAGATGGGGAGTGTATCATGAGTGTGGAAGAAGGATGTGAACTGTCCTGGTTACTACATATCTTATTTGAGCGGTATGACTACACGTATATGAGTTTATGCGGGGTTTATGATTCTAGGGGATAGAGGATAGATGGTCCCTCTAGGGTCTTCAATTGTTCATGTCATGGTCATCGTGATTGTGGTAGGCATAATAATATATCATACAAGATGCAAAGTTTTTGATCCGGTATATGCCGGCAACGCTGATAGACTACTGCGACCGGATAGTATTCTCCTTTAGGATCCCCCGATCTCCTCCTCCGCCCATCTGCCAGAGCCACACGCCCTCCACAGCCCAAGCGGAGGCACTGGCATGCCGACCGATCCCAGTTGCCCCTTTTGGCACTGGAGTGCCTTGCGTTGGCAACGGAGATGGGTTGTTCAGATCAGCGGCGGTTGAGTCACGAGCGGCAGCTGAACGAGTCGGGCCGGAGGGAGCACCGTCTGCTTCGGCGAGCATGCCGGCGACGACGCCCTCGCGCTCGATCACGGACCATAAGCCCTCGACCAAGGGGCTGCCGCGTTCCCCGAACTGGCCCTTGCCCAGGCGAAACAGGATACGGCCGAGAACTTGCCAGGCGATGCACCGTTGAGCGGGGAAGGTCGAACGACTGAGGATGGCGAGTTCGGGAATGGTGTAGCCGGCAGCATGCGGATCCTTGCCGTGGTGATGCAGACCGAGAGTGGTGGGGAGGGAGAGGGAAGTGGCGGGGGAGAGGACATTGCCAATGAGGGAGAATCGGAGAGCGGAGGGATGAACGGCCTCTGCACTACTTGCAGGGTGATATGCGGACGTCGAGTCAGGATCTTCCGGGTCGGCTGAGGGCGGCTGCAGCCAGGAGAGCGCTGATGGATCATGAGACATTTCGGGGAAATAATGGGCTTGGAGGTCAGACAGGAAAGAAGGAGACGAAGGATCGAGATTTGGTGGCTTGTCTTGGCGCGGAGGTGTAGGAAAATGAAAGGCCTCATGACTGGGCATTTCAGACGCTGGATGGAGGTCGGCCGGTGGTTGAGCTGGAGGAAGGTCTTCTGGCGTGAGAACGGAGGATGTTACTGCGGGGGAAATTCTCTTGAGCTGCGATCGCTCTTGCTTCTCTGTTGCTGTCTTGGAATCTTCTTCGACGTCGAACGAGACTGATTTCTTGGGTTTCGCCGTAGAAGCATCTTGCGCTGATGATGAAGACGAGAGTGCTGGCTCCGGTTGTGACGAGCTCTTCTCGGATGTGGTGATAGTGTCGTCATCGTCGATCCGTGCGCGACGGAGGAATCTCTCGAGCAAGGACGGGTTCAATGAAGACATCAGCTCCTCCCGCTCCTGTTGAATCTGGGCGGGTGACATGGATGCCAGTTGCCGACGGTTCTCTTCATCGATGCTCTTCTTCTCATCGGAAAGGGTGGTAGAAGGAGTCGCTGCAGGCGGCGGTGACGATTCTTGTTGCTTGTTCGCTCTGCGCTGTTTGAAAGCAGACTGATTCACACGCCGTCGATGTTGAGGGAAGCCTGTTGATGCGGTGGAGGGTTTAGGAGCTGGGGGGATGGCAGCGGAGGGGGAGCGCTCGCGGATCTCGCCTATCAGACCCAAAGGGGAGGAGCCGAGGGAAGGTTGTGAAGAATCGAGATTAAGGTCGGCATCATCATCGAGATTGAGAGTAAAGCGCTGGCCTCGAAATGCCATGATGAAATAATAGTCCTGGAGTTATCTGGTATGAAGCTATTCAGTGAAAGTTGGCGGGGAAAAAATAATAATAATAAAATAATGAAATCATCTGATGCGGCTCAAAAGCCTAAATTGGGAACGTAGAGGGCGCTAGTCTCGATAAGGGATAGCCGTGCGTTTATACGCCTTTCCTAAGAAGGCTAGTCTGAATGTATACTCCGTGCATCAAGGTACTTGCCGATTCAGGCAGGTACCTCACCTCACTGCACTCTAACAACTCCTTGCCTTGACCAGTTGGACAAGTATGTATACTAAGTAACTAATATTCGGGATTTGACATGACTAAGATGGTTATTAATAGTGTCTTTCTGTCTTTCTATGGCTCTCTATAAGGTCAAAAATCTCCGGTATCATTGTCAATCCAGACCGTCCGATATCTTTGAACGGGAACTGTCCGAGGACCAGGAAGTGATATTCGTAATTGATGGTAGGACGGATTCCATTGGCCTGTATAATGATCCAGCAGGAGTATAAGGCATTGAATATTGAGCAATTGACATGATATACCGGGCGTCTGCCTGGAAAATGCGTGACAGAGCGATACCCTGTATCTCCACCTGGAGGAGTATTTGATGAACGTAAGGTATGTGACTGACTCAACTAGGTAAGTAGAACTCTGCAATCGAACAACAGGTGCTCAATGAATTGAAATAGAATCAAGACGTAGCCTAGTCCATAATGCTGTCTGATTAGAAGTATAAGAAAGAGGAATAATCCATGACTCCGGAGTCCATACTCCGCAGAGTGATAACTAACTATCCCAGTCAGTTGATATCAGGCCAAGTACCTAACGATAGGTACTTACTCCGTGCGGATGATCAAATCATATCAGATCAATAAGATCTTCCCTTCTGTCTTTTTGCTCTCTCTCTCTCTCTCTCTTTCCTTCTGATGACGCTGGATTCTTGATTGACTGCTTCTTCCCTTTTTCCTTCTTTCCTTCTCCTCCCTTTCCCCCTTTCTTTTCTTCCTTTTCCCTTCTCTCTCTCTCTTCCTTCTGTCTTCATCCTACCGTATGATGGTTCGCTTAGCTTAAGATCCGTCTGATATAGGAACTTCAAGCACTCTGCCGACCACCCAGAGTAGATTGCTTTGTCCCTGTCCTTGTTCTTGTTCTTGTTCGTGTCTCTTTCTTCTCTTGTCTTCTGTCTCCCCGTTCATATCTCCCTTTCTGTCTCCCTCTATCCCCATCGTGGTCTCCATCCCCTTTACTCCATACTTACTACTACCCGTCTCCCATTTTTTTTCTTGGTTCATCCTCCCGATAATCTATTTTGTGCTATTTGATCATCTCCAAACGAAGTCCTCCGCCCGTTCTCCATTCCGGATCCCCTCCATCTTCTTGTTCTCTTCTACCCAAACTGCACAATTTTCAGGCCAACCTTGACGCGACAACCACCAGATATCAACATCCCCGAATATTACCCCCAGATCTTCTTTTTATACATGCAAAACTCATCATCGCCATCGTCAGGGAATAGTTCTTAGTTTCTTCATTTGTCATTTTTTTTTTTTTTCTTTACTTTTTTTCAATCATGTCTGCCGATCCGCCGGAAAATGGCTGGCCTGGCAAAGAGGATGAGTCGCTGTCGTCCATCGACTCCAACGCCCGACCCCGACGGGCCTCCGCCACCACTCGACGGTCGCGTCGCAAGAAGGACGACGACGCCGATGTCAGTCAGAAAAACCTTGCTAGGTCAAAATCCCAAAAGGACAACAACAATTCAAAAGATAGCGCAAAGGACACCAAGGAAAAATCCAAACCCCGGGGAAGTCGTCGCCAACGAGAGAAGTCCACCTCCACCAATCCTAATAACAGTACCACTACCGCCAGCAGCAACAGCATCAGCAGTAAGAATAATAACAACAACAACGACGACAACCCGAGTACAACGGCACCTCATGACCAGAACTCACCAAATAACTCTCGCAAGAAACCAAAGCTGGAGCCAACACCTCCCGACGAGATCCCCAAGAGTATCTCCGTGAGCTCCATCACGACCCCGTCTGCTCCTGCTCCTGCTCCTGCTCCTGCGCCCGCGTCAACGTCAACGACAACGCCAACGTCAACTGGCCGCTCTCCGCACCTCACACCCTCATCCGCATTACACCTCCACCAACCTTCTCAGCATGAGCAGCAGCACCAGCACCAGCATCATCCCCAGCTCAATCCCTCATCCTCTCTTCCTCCCTACTCGAATTCGACCCCGACTCATGCGCCGTCCCCCGCTTATGCGATGAACCATCATTCTCTTCATCCTCCACGGCCTCAATCCCAACCGCCGCCCCCTGCTCCCCCTCAGAGGAGGAGCGGTCAGAACTATGATCCCATTCGTTCAGCCTTTGATACAGCTTCTTCCGCTCCGGCTCCCGCGACAACCAGTCCCCCCGCGCAGAATCCTTCCCCGCGCAACACGTTCCGTGCAAGTGCCTCGCCGGCCATCTCCAGTATCATCGATCCACCCCAGCCGACTTCAACACAACACATCTACTCGCCAATTCCACGGCCCTCACCGAGCCATATTCCGTCGACGCTCTCCTCACCCGGAATACACCCCAATGCTCCACAATCAGTCCATCCTTCACTGGCACCCTCCCCTTTGCCGGCGACCTCCCCTTCTCATGGGTCTATTCTCGCCCCTCAGCATCCACTGTCACTAGCCTCGCAGCCACAACAATCGTCGCCGCCCTATTCACATCGCTCTCCCTATCCGCCTCAGCAGCAACTACCACAACCGCAGCCTCCGCGTTCTCCGCGCAACGAACACAAGCCCGTCGCGGCAGCTCCAGAGCCCGTCCCACCCAGTGAGGCACCCCAGAAATCGTCTCCGAAGCAGGAGGCAGAGCCACCGGTTCTGCCTAAGAAACAGCCCCTCACCAAACTCGCCTCTCCTCCAGAAGAACCAGCCGCGATGGATGTGGATACCGATGAACCTGCTCAGCCCAATGCAGAAGCCAAGGCTCCCAAGAAGGAAAAAGGAACAACTGCCACCACTACCACCGCCCCTTCCTCCAATGCGGCATCGCCGAAGCCCGCGCGTCCTGTCAAGGAAGCGCCGCCTCCATTACCCCAAGGCTCCGGGTTGATCTCCAACGCACTATTTGGAACGGATGACACTCGCCCCTCCGGTTCATCTCGCACCTCGCCGAACATTATTCTGCACATTCCCCTGCAGCGAGACGGCAATCAGATCATCAACTTTGCCCGTATGGCGGAAGAGCAATACGGTTTCGCTGCCTTGCATCCCCGACTGGCCGCGCACAAGGAGCGACTGGCTCGCGTAGCGGCGGCAGGTGCGGCGTTGGAGCGGAACGAAAAGGGTGGCAAGGGCCTATCTGCGGGAGAAAGCGCGGACGAGGATCTCAGTCTTGACGTCGATCGTGATAGCGACCTTGATGGCGATGTCGCGATGGGTGGTGTGGGTGCGAATGCCGCGGCGGCCACAAACGGTGCGACAGGGACCGATGCCTCAGATGGAAAGAAGAAACGCCGCAAAAAGAAAATGGAAGAGTATGACCGGGATGATCCGTTTGTAGACGACAGCGAGTTGGCTTGGCAGGAACATGCGGCCGCTAGCAAGGACGGGTTCTTTGTGTACAGTGGACCGCTCGTCCCGGAGGGAGAGAAGGTCCAAGTTGAACGGTGAGTTAATCTGCTTTCCATCCTTTTACTTTCTCAATTGCAATTACTAACGACGGCTGACAGGGCGGACGGAACTATCAAGCGTGGACGTGGCCGGGGTCGGGGTGGTCGCAGCCGCGGGGTTCCATCGACTCATCAAGTGCCAATTGCCGCCGCGGTCCCCATCTCCCAGGAGACAGGCCTGCCTCTTCGTGGTCCGGGATCCCGTGGTGGCAGCACCACTCGCCGTCCTCGTCCGAGCAAGTCCCGGCAGCAGGCCGAACAGGACAAACAGGGCGCCTCTTCGGCAACATCGCAGGGACGCGGTGGAGGAGCAGCTGGCCGCGGAGGAGGCGCGGCTGGAACCCGCGGTGGAAAGACGCCATCTATGGTCGAGCTTGCTCCTGCGCCTCGTCCGAGCTTGGCCCCTGCACCGTCAGGGCCCAGTCCTCTGGCTGGCCCAGAAGTGGTGTCGAAGTGACCTTCCTGCTGCCACTGATTATATCCTATTCTGGACTTTTCGCCGATGCGAAGTCCAATGATTGCTTTTCCTCGAATAAGGGGATGTCCCCATCATTGTTCTGGTGTACGGAGGCATTATGTGATTGATTATTGTGTGACTTGGCGTTTGAGGGTTATGCAGAACAATTGGTATGATGAAAGCCGAATTGTCAGTCTAACTTTGTCTGCTTGTGGATCGGATGAATGGCTGGTGAATCAGAATGACTATCTAGCTCTTTGTTTCTATCATACAGTGTCACACAGCTTATGATTGTTTTGACATGTCAGGCGTGTTGCTCCTTAGTCTAAAGAAGGATTGATCATCAGAAATCGCTTAAGATCGAATCATCTTCATATGAGTCATGAGTCTTGTAATTAGTATCTCTCTGCTTTGTATGGGATCAACAGTAGCTGTCCGATGCTATGGTATGATGCCTATATGCCTATTTGCCTATTTGCATAAGACAATAGCTCTATAAATTGGTAGATGTATGTCAAATGCACGGTATGTACCTTTGTAAAAGTGATTTAGGTACGTATCACATAAGAGAAACACCAGGAGGTGACATATGTAGATGCAATGAGATCCAGCCTCTGATTGGAAAAGTAACCGACTACACAGACATGACATAGAAAAAGGGCCATGCGACGAGAACAGGCTATGGGACATGACGACAGACTCCAAGAGGGGAATTGTGATAAGGTACATATGAAGAAAGAGATAGCCAATGAACGAAGACGCCCTGTCGATGCAAAAGTCGTGGGGAACATTTGGTCAAGTGCGGTCAGTTTTGCTAGTTATTCAACACCGATCAAGTTGGCGGGCCACATGCATTGAAGCCGGAGAGGAAAATGAAAGAAAGTCTGGAATGAACAAGGAGAGGAGGCCCGGACTTATGGTGTTAGACAGCCCCCGTCATATCGCCGCGCGATTGGTTCATCTGGCGCCGCCAGGAACCTCCAGCAGACACTGGAGCCGGTGGAGGTGGCCCGCTCGGGGGAGGGGCGGCACGGATGGGTAAAGTTGCCGTCTGAAGTGGCATTCTCGACTTGGTGTTGTGGGAGCTAGCCGACCGAGAACTGATCTGGGGTCGAGTAGGCGCGTCAATGGCAGACACGGGATCTCCCAGATAATTGCGCGATGGACGACGGCCAGACCGATACTCTTCCTCTTTGGTTTCCAGCGACAGGTGCTCCAGCGATAAGGGTGGAGGCGACCGGGTCGCCCTAGCCATATGCGGGGACGGGTTTGAGGGGACGTTGTAGTGACGGGAGTGGGAGGAGCTTGAGGAGTCGTTGGCGATGTTCAAGGGAATCTCTCCAGACGTGGGCATGTGGCCGGGAGTCCGAGATGGCCTGCTAACGGCGGGCTTTGGAGGAGGTGTGGGATGGCCTGCCTCTTCCTTGAGTGATTTTGGAGCCGGGGGAGCCAAATATGACTTGCGGTTGTGCCTCTCCATCATGCTGATAGCCCATTCCTGAAGATCAACTGGAGTACGTTTGGCAGCCTGCAAGAAAGCATCCTTGTCCTGAGGGAAGGTTAGTGAATGGCTACATAGCCTAAGAGCGGGCAGGCCAAAAGACAGGGGCTTACATAGAGCTCCCGAGGAGTTGGTCGTTCTTCAGGTTTCTTGAGGAGACACTTGGCGACAAATTCATGCAGGATAGGCGGGAAAGCATCGCTCTTAGGCAGCTTGGGTGCAGGCTCGTGAACAATCTGCTGCAGAAGATCCAGAATGCCCATTGGTCCAGCACTGGCGCGATCGCCCGCAGACGAGTCCGAGGCATCAAAGGGGAAGCGCCCGACCGCCAATTCCATGACAGTCAATCCCACGCTCCATACGTCTGATCGCACCGTGTAAGCGCCGCCTTGGATTCGCTCCGGTGCCATGTAGGTCGACGTCCCAACGAAAGTGTCGGCGATCGAGTTGACCGTCTCTGTAGCAACACCGAAGTCGCAAAGTTTGATATTACCACGGGAGTTAACGAGAATGTTGGACGGCTTGATGTCACGATGCATTATGCGGTGAGCTTCATAGAGGTACACCAGACCGGCAAGAACCGACTCCGTGATCTTGCCGAGCACATCTACTCGAACAGGTCCAAAGTCTTTGGAAATGCGGTCGAGGGATCTAAATTCCACTAAAGTCAGTGTCCGAAAGAGAATTGCCCGGCTTGGATGACTCCTCGCGGGATACATACCCGCAATCCATATATTCCATACATAGAACAATGTCCCTCGCTTCATTCTGGAATGCTCCGTAAAAGGTCACGATGTGAGGGGAGTTGCAATCATGGCCAACTTGCAGTTCACGCAAGATCTGCTTTCTCACATTCTCCTTGGCATCCACGCGAATGATCTGCAATCAAGCATAATCCGAAGACCATCGTCAGCAAAACTTCCTCCTTTTCGGTGATCCAGAATGAGAACCCGTACCTTTCTGGCCATCACAACCTTGGTGGATGCGTGCATCACCTTGGATACAGTTCCTCCATTCCCAGCTCCTAGCTCTTTCAGAGTGATCAAATCCTCACTTCGAAGATCCAGTCGAAATTCCAACCCAATCTCCAGAGTATCTGTGCGGTTGCTGTCGGTGTTTCCAATGGCACCGGGAATCTGAGCATCACCTTCCGAGGGTTTGGGGAGAGGTTTTGGCGTAGAGTTCAGGGCAAGGCCCTTGACATTCTTCCGTTTCAGCGTCCGAGCTTTGAACTGGTCCGCCATGGCTGGGGCGAACAGAGTGACTCTGCCGCAGTCACTGCGAGGTGGGGTAAATGGAGTGCTGCGCAAAGCACAATAACGAGCTCGTACACCTGGTTCGGACGATGGATAAAAATAGGGGGAGGGGGATGAATAACTCTGCTGTTGAGACTCCCTGGTGCCTGCTTGTGATCTAGATTTCAATGACGCGGTCGCGTCTGGTGGTCTATCGACGACGGGGGAGGGACACAAAGAGGGGATAAGGAGGGGAAAGACGGAGGATCAATGGTGAAGATAACAGCCCCTTCCACGCCAGGTTAAATTCAGTAACTGTGGTGATTCGCTGCAGAAGATTCTGATAGTCAGGGACTGATTGGAGAGTTCATCTTGAAAGCGACGAGCGACTGACTGAAGTAGTTGAGAGACTGTTGGAGTTGATGGGCCAACTATTGGGTGCTGAGGGATGCACACAAGCGCCGAGAATCCGGGAAAGTCAAGGCTACAGTTCCCGAAGAGACATCCTTGGCCTTTGGTTTTTGGATTATGACCTCTTTTCACTCTTGTTGACCGAAAGGCAACCGGCCTTGATATGCATAAGATGAGGTGATCACATAGAAAGAAAAGAGGAGAGTTGTTTAGTGGTGGTTTAGGGGAAGTGAAACAACTATCAATAGATTGTGGATATTCTGTCTATGGTCTAGTTCAATCTACTATTCGCAGAGCAAAAGGGGGAGAGGAAGAGACCACTGAATCTCTAGTCAAGACTCAAAAAGACTGAATCCATTTTTAATATCTACTGGTCGAGATTCAAGTAGATACTAATTACCTTGCCTCTGTTGTGGTCGTCTCAAAAGTCTCATGCTCCAATAGATGTCGTCAACTATGTCACAGACCAGAGTAATAGATCCGTCACCTGTTATACAATAAAGTCTCCCATCATGTTAGTACTATAAGAAGCAATTAAGAACACCGTACTTGAGAGATATTCAGAAATGTATAGCACAGGCTGTTGTATTGGGGTCACCAAAAGAGCCTGTCCAGTTGGTGAGTGTCACCTGATTTGAGCCCTGGGTCAGCCACAGATTCACACGTGATCGATGGTCAAGCCACAAGGCCCCACTGCAGGTGGGAAGGCGGTGGCAGAACAGAGCCACAAGCTGCTGGCTTTGTCGTCGGAGTCTCTCTCTTATGGACGACGGAGGCGCTACTGAAGGAGCAGCAGCATACTAGTTTTCCATCTCCATCTTATCTCCCATACCCAGCCACCGTCTGGTGTCTTTTCTCTTGTGTTCATTCTTCTTGTTCATCTCTTCTTCTACTTTCCCTTACCATTTTCTCCTTTCTCTCATTAGACTTAACATTTCAATCCTCCGGTCTTTCCTTCTCTACGCTCTACGAAATATTTCCTTCCAGACACAATGAGCGCTCGCGATTTCGTAGAAGGTGAGGCTATGCTGGACGATGAGGAGAATGAGAATGAGGAGGAACAGGAGGAAGACTACGACGGCGAAGTTCGTGAGGGTGCTGGCACCGTGAATCACTATAATGACTCGAGTGAAGAGGAAGAGGAGGACGATGATGACGAGGAGGCAGCTCGTGCAGTATGATACTCCGGTCTTTGGAGCGCAATCAAAAGCCAAAAGATCAAGCAGAAACTGACATTTCCTCACTTGTTAGATCCGCGAGGGTTTTATTGTCGACGAGGACGAAGAGATCGAAGAACGCGCCGAGCGCAGGCGCGAGAAGAGGAAGCGGCGTCGAGAGGAGCGTGAGCGCGAAGATGAGCATCTCGATGAGGAAGATCTAGAGCTCATCGGAGAGTTGAATCCTGCTTTTCAGTCCGCCGCAGCTGCCGAGGTATGCCAGATAGACTACCTAACTCCCACCAGGGTAATTCAGGAGGCTGACCAAAACCCTTTCTATGCAATACAGTCCAAATTCAAACGTCTCAAGCGTGGTCACAAAGACCATCGGCAAGCGTCTCAAGGCATCGACGACATTTTCAATTCGGATGAAGACGAGGAGGCGGCAGGCGACTATGGCAGACCGAGCCATCGAAGACCTATGCACGATGAGATGAAGGACTTTATCGAAGAAGACGTCTTCACGGATGATGAGCTAGAGCGGGAACGAGAGGATCTGGAGATTGCCCGTCCGGCGAAAAGGGGCGTCACCGGTCTCGGGGCCACCGATGCAGCTGGCTTGGACGAGAATGCCCTCGAAGATATGCGCGCAGCGTTCGGCGATGGAAACGAATACCTGTTCGCCCTTGAAATGGA